TAAAATAAAAAAATTTCTATCAAGTTTGGTTTAATAGTTATTGAGATATTTTAATTTAAAGTCTAAAAAAAAATTTACATAGAAACAATTTGTCTGGATTCTATTGACCCCCCTATATATAGTAATAAAAGGTATATATAACATATCAATACATATTTGGTATCATTAAACTAAACTCATCCAATCATTTATTTTGATCTGTTAATAATTCATTAAAATATTGACTGATTATAGATTGCTTTATCGAATCTTTTTTTTTGAATTGATAAATTTTTCAATAACACTAACTAGTTTTATATATTCATTTGCACTTTCTTGCTGAAATAAGAAAGTGTATATATTTTCTAGACTTTTCAAAGTATCACTTGGGCTTATAATTTCTTTTTCAACACTATTGTCTACTTTTTTGTGATTTTTTTCCATTTCATCAGATCTTTTTCTGAATATTTTAACAAGATCCAAAATAATTTGATTATCATCAGGTATTTTATAAACAATATTTAGTTGAGAATATTCAAATACTCTTCTGTTTGCACCAGGTCAAAAAAATTAAAGTGTTTAATATTTTAGAAAGTTCTTCAAGCAAAATTTTATCTTTATTTTTTTACTATCTGTATTATTATCTCAAGTAAAAAATTTAATATTTAAAGCATTGATTTGTATAATAAAATTTTTGTTGATGTCTACTTACTAAAATACTATATATAATTAAACCTAATCTAAAATTAGAATTTAGTTATCTAGTTGTTGATTACTACTGCAAAGTCATAAAAAAAAACTTGTGTAATTGGCTAGTATATGTTAATTAAACAGATTATACTAATAATAAATTGCTATTGTTATTGTTATACCAAATTGTAAATGTGATTTTTTTCAAAATAGAAAAAAGCTATAAGCCTTGTTTTAATTAATACAGTCTTATATATGGGGTGGAGTCAATAGAAAAGTTTTTCTAAGTAAAAGTTTTCTTGACTTTAAACTTAAATATCTCAGCAATTATCTTATCAAATTTAATAATTGTTTT